TATATATATATATATATATATGTGTGTGTGTGTGTGTGTGTGTGTGTTGCAGTATCTAATATAGCACCAAAAACATTTTTTTTTTAATTAAAATATGGGAAGACAGTAAAACAGATTGGATTGATCTTGAATATATACACACACACATATATATATATATATGTGTGTGTGTGTGTTGCAGTATCTAAAATAGCACAAAAAAATACAGTATACAGTAAAACAGATTGGATTGATCTTGAATGCAAGTTGTTTATTGTAGTCTCATTTAAGTATTATGTCCGAATGCTGTTAAATCTCACAAAAACTGCTAATTGAAAACAGAATGCAAGTACAAATAACAGTATATAACATGACGGGATTTTCATGTCACCTCAAGGAGTGTAATAATCTAATGGGAAATTTCAGAAAAATTCTGGAAATACTAATAGTTGTATAATGCCCCATCTTTAAATTGTCACTTCATCATAGACTATCCTACACACACAGAAAGCTTCTGTTCACACCAAGAATTGTCTCTATAAAGATAAATATTACAATATTAGTGCATGCTAACATTCCATTTATTCTAAGTGTACAATGCAGTTTAGTTGTCTTCCGCTTTAAATGCTTGAGCGCTTCAAAGCAGGCTGGATTCTGATTGGCTGTCAATGTTTTTATCATTAATTAGCTGAAAAAAATTGCTCTGATTCTGAAAAATGAAAAGTAAATACAGCTGCAGTAAATACGTAAATGAAACAAAAATATACCACACTACATTAAGACTGCTTCAAAACGAAACATTAAGGATCATTTATGCTGTGAATGCCAGGTTAAAATAGGTACTTTTTTTTTTTTACAATGTATTTGGGAACGGAGTCACATTAAACCTCTTACAGTACAGGTTATGAGTGTTTACCGATTTGGTTCGGTTATGTCTGGGATCCTAAATATGCATTTCGAGGTGCTGTTGTATGCCTGATGCCAGGCTAGCATAAGCAATGAACACTCATTCCTGACAGAAACACACAAAAAAAATAATCAAGATCTTTAGAATACACATTTATTTTCAATTTTGGACACAGATAACATTATTTTACATCAGGACGTTTACTTAGGGCTTTGCATTTACTACTGATTCAAGTGCTTTGGCCACTTGGTCAGCGTTCATGTTGTCCAGTGAAACGCTGTGTTCTTTGCCAAAACCTGAGACAGAGAGATGCATCATTATGTTTATGTGGTCATTTGGATGAATATGCTTTAGTTTTCTGGAGTATCTTCCTACCATATCGTGCCCACAGCACGGGCTGAACCCCAGAGCACTCTCGGATCAGAATGGGGAACTCCGGATTTGCCGTCTTTAATGTCACATAATGCTGCTCAATAAAATCCCTAAAATAAGAACAACAAATAAGAAATACTGAGACATAAGAATAAAGGTCCTTGCTCACGGAGGCAGACATTTTCGAATAATGCTGCTCAATAAAATCTCTAAAATAAGAACAACAAATAATAATTACAAAGACATAAGAATATGACTGAGAACTAGTTCCATGCTGAACCAAAAAATAAAAACAACAATGGTCATCAGGCCACACAATCCATTTAACAATTTTAATAATTTCTAATATGCTGATTTGGTGCTCAATTTGTTTTTATTATTATGTTATTCAATGTTTAAAACCGTTTTACTGCTTAATATTTTTGTGGAAACTGTGATACATTACCATTTATAAGTCATTTTTTTTTAAATAAAAGAAATTAATACTTTTAGTCAGCAAGGACACATTAAACTGATCAATAGAGACAGTAAAGGCATTTCAAATGTTACAAAATATTTCTATATCAAATAAATGCTATTCATTAATCTTTCCATTCATCAAAGAATCCTAAAAAAATATATCACCGTTTCCAACGAAAATAAAGTAAAACTGTTTTTAATAATAAGGACCATTAATAATAATTGAGCACCAATAAAATTCAAACACCAAATCAGCATATTAAAATGATTTCAGAAGATCATGTGACACTGAAGACTGGAGTACTGATGCTGAAAATTCAGCTTTGCATCACAGGAATAAATTACATTTTAAAAAATATATATTCAAACATATTTTAAACTGTAATAATATTTCACAAAATTAAATGTTTTTACTGTATGTTTGACCAAATAAATGCAGTCTTGGTATGCATAAGAGACTTATTTCAAAAATTATTTCAAAAACTAAAAAAAATAAACAAAAAAATAAAGCATAATTATTTTTAACTTTTGACCGATATGTATGTATGTATGTATGTATGTATGTATTATATATATATATATATATATAAGGCCTATCGCAATAATCAATATATCGACTTATCGCGCAATATATGTACATATAAAAAATATATTTTTAATGTATGTTTGACCAAATAAATGCAGTCTTGGTATGCATAAGAGACTTATTTCAAAAATTATTTCAAAAACTAAAAAAACTAAAATAAAAAAATAAAGCATAATTATTTTAAACTTTTGACCGATATGCATGTATGTGTGTGTGTGTATGTATGTATAAGGCCTGTCGCAATAATCAATATATCGACTTATCGCGCAATACATGTACATGACCTCAATAATTTTTGGTGACGCAATAGATCGCCCATTATATTAACTTAAAAATTTATGTCACCATGTTTTTTACATTCCACTCGTGCCTGTGTATTTTGCAGCTTCTCGTACATAACGTGGTGCAGTCATGAGGTGCTAGTTCACATTTAAAAAATGCTCCTACAAAAAAGTTTCATCTGAAGATATGGCCTTGTTTAGGGATCTGTGTCTTTGTGCATACGGACATCTGACTGCTGAGTAGTGATTGTTTTTTCAGCAATAGCGTGCACCCTTAATTTACAGAGAAAAGAAGGTCCCGGAAAATCTGTAGATGGAAAAAATCTCCATAAAAGTGCATTTTTCCTTTTTTTTGTACTTGTTACTTTGCACTTTTTGTTAGAAAATGTGTATTTACTGTTTATTCAAGTTTTTTAAGGTATCTAATATTTTGATACTTAATTTCCATGATCTAAATATTCTTAAAAACTAAAAGTTTGTTGTCATTTGGAAGTGTGTAGGCCTTCTTGCATTATTATGCTGTTACATTATGATTATATATTCAGTGGCATAAAATAGTTTTTAAAATGACAATAATATCACTTATAGCAATTATTTCTGGGGCAATATATCACACAACAAAAAGTTATCGTGACAGGCCTAATATATATATATATATTTTACTTACTATACTTGTTATATTTATACTTAGTATATATACTTAGCTACATGTATTACTTATATAGTATGTATATATACAGTAATATATATATATATCAAAATAAGATTGATGTTCAGGGAATAATCAGATGTTGTATATATACACACACATCTGATTATTCACTGAACATTGATCTTGTTGTTTATTTAATGATTGGAAGAGTTCTTCCATTAGGCAGGACAACGTGTGGCCAATATTAAATAATGATTTGAATGTATAATTATTAAAATGATAAACAGCTTCCCCACAGCCTCTTGAGGTCCACTCTTAAATATGTGTACGGACCCTGTACTCAGAATTCAAAGCTAGTCGGTTTCTCGTGCAGGCTTCAGTCACGCAGGTCGTCAGCCAGTATTTATAACGTAACGTACATAAACATTACTGCAAGTGATTCAAGCAGCCTCCACAGAGGACAGTTACTCTCCCTACAAAACACCCATCCGTAAAAAGCGCCAGTACTGCACCTGCTTCCCTGGCTGGCAGCTGATATCTGGCATAAATGCAGGCGGACTTCACGCAGATGTTTTGACAGATTTGAGCCGATTCCACGAACCACAGCCGCCGCCGCCATGACACCTTCACGGACGGAAGTGCTCTTCTTCTGTTGTTTGTCGGCCGCTGGCAAAACCGGTATCTGCTTTACCGCCACCTACTGACTGGACGGTGTAAGCTCCTGTTTCTTTCAGAAAATGCATCACACCCTTGTGATTTAAAAAAATATATATATTTTACTTGTCTTGAAAAAGGCAGTACTAACAACAACTGGCTTGTTCGGAGACTTTAAAAGCGACACTGAACAAGCTCATCTAATCACTAGTCACTTTCACAGCCTTGTTGTATTTAATCGAGCTCTTGCAAACTATTCTAACTCAAACTTTTAGGGATAATGTTTTTGTTTTTTATAGAAAGACTGAAAAAGTTGTCAAAAGCTTGATGATGGTGACGTCATGTGACCAGGCTCTAGTATTCAAAGGACTCTGGGTCACATCAGCTGTTTGTTTACATTTAGCTGTCCTAATTCAAACTCTGTCACATAAATGAGCATGGTTATTAAGTATAGAAGCATGAGCGACTGATTTCATCTGACGGTACACACAGAAGGCTTTGTGTGTGTGTGTGTGTGTGTGTGTGTGTGTGTGTGTG